CCACTTTCGGCAGCAGGTGAGGACCCGACTACCTTTCATGCGCACAGGGTGGCTGCACCGGGTAAACACAGCGGTCGGCACCGTCCACCACCAACTGAAAGTTTTGGTGGCAGGTGAAAGTTCACTCCAATCTGGGAAGAAGCCCTTTTGGCAAGAAACGGTTCAGTTGGAAACACCAAAAGACTGCACCTATGTCTTGCGAGTTGAAGAATGTCTCATCGGAAGCGCCCACGCTGAAGGCGGGAAGCGAAGGGGGAGGATCTCCTCTTCATTACTGGAAACAAGTCGCCAACACTCTCTCTGTTATTTGTGAAATCTAAAACCGCTCACAGTGCATCCTCAGAGGTTGTCATTCAGCAAATGTGGATTCTGCGAAAATTTGGTGGTTTTGCGCGGTGCGGCCACAGCCCTTCTGCTTGCACTTCTGCAAGGGTTTTCAGCTTGCTTCAATATGCAAGCAAAACGGGTCCTAGTCGCATTCTGTGCGTCTCGGAAGTTTTTGTTGCCCGGGCTTAAAGCGCTGTTTCTGGCCTTGTAAGTGCGTTTCTGTTGCGGAGCTTTGTGGCTCGAAAAGCCTGATAAGTGCTTTCTAAGCGCAACGGTGACTCCGAGCAGAAGGTTGGTTGGGTTGGAATTCTCTTGGCTTCATTTGCTGCATGTGAGCCTTGGGTTGCGTCTCCGTCAATCCTGCGCCGGCAACAGGATTGCATTGCTGGGGTGCTGGGTTAGGGCCGCAGATAGGCCAGCGCATCCTGGCGCCGCACGTTGGACGGTGGCAGCTGCAGCCGCCGCACGCAGCTCGGGGGCAGTGGCTGCTGCTGTGCGAAGGAACTCCGAACAGTCGTTCAACTTGCTTGCCACCGCATTGCGCAACCCGCAGGAGTAGGGTGGACTAGCAGGCATTTGGGGCTTGATAGGTCCACCTGGAAGCTACTTGGCAGAGCGACAATGCTGAGGCCAACTACTCTAGCTTTCCGGAACCGAAGAAGGGCGAGTGCAGCACCGACACGTCGCCCAGCAGCAGGTCCAGGTGTGGAGCCAGCCACGGCTTACTGCCCATATACTTCAGCTGCTTGCCGGCCTCGGCAAGACCGTGCCTGGCAGCAAAAAGAACGCCACCCAACTCGCTGTCTGGGCAGGAATTGAGCCGCGCGGAGTAAGAAGTAGCTCCTTGGCCGACGCCTTAGCCACTGGACTAAGGCGTCGGCGAAAACATATGTAAACATGTTTGAAGGACCTGTCACGGGCAACATCCCGGAGGTCCTGGACAACGGAGAGGTAACTGACGGTACGCACGTCACCACAGGCCCTCGCTCTGACGCCCTACGCGCAAGTAACAGACCTGGCGGTGAACACGGCAGCCTCCGGCAACAACGCAGCCGCCATCCAGTCCCTGGACGACCGGGTCACCGCAGAGCTGGCGTCGAAGCTGGACAGCAGCGCACTGGCGCTGGCAATCGCGCTCCTGGCCACGGCAGCCGCCCTGGCCACCACAGACGGACAGGTGGCAGCATCGCTGCACTGCAGAGCTCGCTGACCACGGGTCTCTCCAACAAGGCAGACCAGTCGGCCTTCGACGTGCTGGAGGGCGTGGTGGCCACGAAGAGAACCCCCGACGGCGTGGACCTGAAGCTGTCGAACTACAGCACCACGGCGGCCATGAACGGCTCCATCGCCTCGGCCAACAACGCCACGCTGGCCACGGTGGCAGCCAACTACGGCCTCAAGACGGTGGTGGACCAGCACTCCCTCGACATCGCAGCAAGGATCACGCCGCTGGAGGTCGATCTCGGGGCTGCAGGCCTCCAAGGCAGACGCCAGCGTACGCCCTGCTGTCGGCCGTCGACACTTCCTCTGAGGTGGACTCTAAGATAGCGGCAGCCCTCCTGGGCGCAGTCACCACGGCAGCCCTGGACGCCGCCCTCGTCGTCAAGGCGGACGCCAGCGCGCTGGCCGCCCTGCTCTCCACGGTGGACGGGTTGGACACGCCACTGGAGGTAGACACCAAGATAGCAAATGCCCTGCTGGGTCTCGCCACCGAGGCCTTCGTCGCAGCGCAGCTTGCCAGCCGTGACGCCAGCATCACGGCGCTCCAGGGCGCCAAGGCCGACGCGACGCTGCTGGCCTCGTACGCCACGAACGCCGCGCTCTCAGCCAGCGAGACCACGCTCCAGAGCGCCCTCGACGCAATCCTCGCGGAGCTCGCCGCCCTGCAGCTTTCCGGCAGCGGCGGAGTTGTTAACGCGCCGGCCTGGGCGGGCTTCACTACTTGGGAGCTCGTTCGCGGAAGCAACGTCGTTCGCAACCTGCATCTGGAGGCTCCTCTCTCTGCTGCGCTGGCCAACGGCGACGACACGCTGAGCATCACGGCCGACTGCTACTCCGTCGCAGCGGCGGACGCGGCCCTCGCGGCTGCGCTGCTGGCCTACTACACCTCGGCGCAAGTGGATGCTCTGTTGGTCGACTACCGAACGGGGAGGGCGCAGGACGCCAAGACGACCAGCGCCCTCGCAGCTGCGCTGCTACACCTCGGCGCAGACGCAGGCTGCCATTGCGGGCGCGCTGCTGGCCTACCGGACGGGCCCGGACCAGGACGGTTTCACGACCAACCAGATCACCTCGGCGCTGGCGGCGTACCGCTCGGCCGCCGACCAGGACACGGCAACGGCCTCGAGCATCGCCGCCGCCCTGCTCAGCTACTACACCATCGCGCAGGTGGACGGCTTGCTGACCGGCAAGCTGGGGGTCACGGAGGCAGCTTCGCGCCTCGGCACGGCCTCCAACTTTGTGGTGCACATGTCCGACAACGTCTACGACCCCCTGTACGGCAGCTTCGTGGCGGATCAGAGCACCTGGAGCACGGCCAAGATGTACTTCACCCAAACGAGATTGCAAAGCTGCACTTCGGGGCGCACCAGGCGCCGGTGGACGTCTACGGCCTCCAGATCCTGGACGCAACCCTCAAGGCCGGCAACTTGACGGAGGTCGAGGCGGACACGACGGCCTTGACCCTGCTGCTGAAGCACGAGTTCCTTGACGGTGGAGCTGCTTTTCGGAACTCCTGCATGTGATTGAGCTATTGTAAGGATATTGGTATAAATGTCCTTGTCCAAGCTGTGGGCGCAAGGCTCGCACGGCGTGGGACAGATACCTTTAAAGGCAGGACTCTGCACGTACTGCCCGATTGTAAGAGTCGCCGATTAATGCCAAGTGCAAGGCTAGGAATGCCGGATGCTCGGCTGTCAGGTGCGAGGAACACGACCTCCGCGATCTCAAATCATATAAGGAAAGGCGCAGACATCCTCAGGGCGTTGCGAAGGCTTGATAACAGCCCAGCCCTTCGCACACGAGCATCGACAACTTGGAGGTTCTACGCCCGCTTGATGGCCGCGTTGGTCCGACTGCGTTGTCGAGTTCTTGTTGTCACGGAACACTGCGGCGGGGGCGTGGCGAGGCGAGGCAAGGCGACGCCCCGCTTCCAGCAACTTGTTCTGCCCCAGGACACGTGCGCGCAACATCTCCTGACACCTGAGCCGAAACTCATTACGTGCGCTCAAGCTCCGTTTTAGCCATGACCAACAAATTACCCGTTTAGGGTTCCAACCGCCCATGCCACAGTCGCATGTTGCGCGAATGAAGTGGGGATCATGGAGGGGCATGCTCCACGCCATATTTTGAGGGGCGAACGTTTGGACCTGCTGCCCGACGCCACCAAAGAGCTGGCTACGGCTACGCCTCTCCTGTCAATGTGCCGGGCCGCGCTGAAGCACCCGACCGTGGAACCGGCTTTCCGGACGCCGCAGGAGAAGCCACCCGAGCAGCTCCAACTCAAGTCTTTGCCTTCCAGCATTACGCGGTTCCTCTACCTGCATGAGGTGGAGGGGCTGCTGGGTCAGCACGCTGGTAGGGACGAGGAAGCCCTCGCAGTAGAGCAGGCAGCCTTAGTGTCTTCAGAGGCCGAGTCAGAATGCAACAGCCTTTCGCCTCGTTCAGAAGAGGCCGAGCCCAACCCGACACTCAGAACGCCGAGCTCATTGGAGTCCGCCTTCTGCCTTGGGGAGCTGTGCATGCATTGACCGACACACATTCGCATTCCTTCAAATTAGGAACCTCTCGTATGGCAGTACAGGAGGGAAGCGTTGCGCCTTGGAGCTTGACACCAGCGCTATAAGGGGATGACACGCTCAGCTTGCTTGCTTTTCCTCCAAACGTGTGTCTACGGCAAGAGTAAAGCCCGGTGCCCAGTCGAGGTGCTCGGCTTGGCTGTGAGCACTTTGCGTGCTATTAATCGCACAAGCGGGCTCTTGCAAGATGTTGACTTACGTTTCGACTGCGCTCACGCAATTTGAGGTGCCCGCGTCTGACTTTGGGGCATCTTGTGTGGCATTTACTGCACGATCGTGCTCTTGGCCTCAGATCGAGGGGGTCGTGCGTGTGAGATCGCTCTCGCCGTGGCCCCGTGCGAAAATTGACTTCAACTGAACGAACCCTATGCCGGGATCGTGTGCGTCTGATCGCTCCCACTGTGGTCCCATGCGAATTTTGTTCCCGCCGGATGAGCTCTGCGGGGATTGTGCTCGTCTGCACTCCCGCGCGAATTTCGCTTCAACCGGATGAACCCTCTGCGGGAATCGCGCGCGTCTGATCGCTCTCGCTGTGGTCCTGTGCAACTTTGGCTTCGGCTTGACGAACCCTCTGCGGGGACTTCGCGGGGGCGATGCTGCACGACATGTCAAAAGAAAACAAGTCCGGGCTATGTATAAATGCTTAGCATGTGTTGCGCCCGTCTGGATTCTACATCGGTTGGTCTCATCCAACTGATTTCTTTGGCTTTGTTGAATGGCAAAACTCTTTCTTTGGAAAGCGACTGATGGTATGCAAAACGATTCTTATACACTGGTCGGCCGGTGTTCGACTCCACAAGGGATCAAGTGTGCCTCCAACAACATGACACTTGTCGCGCCGGCGCCCAATCCTTTTTCTGCCTTTGCAAAGAGACGTCAATCAATGCGATCTCTGTCTTGGATGAACGTGATCGCAGCGGCAAATGTTGGAGAGAAAAAAATGCTGATGTCGCCCTCTCTGACTAGTAGATATGGATATCGAAACTTGCTTTGACAATTTGTTGCATCAGTGGCCTGGGCAGCTATAGCTACACATAATATTACCTGGATGTGATTGCAAAAGCTGTCAGCAGCTTCATTGAGCGATCTCACAGCCTTTGGCAAATTCTGGTTGAGCTTGTCTTGGTAGATAACAAGGCATTGTGTGTTTGTCTCCAAGTGATATGCAATGACAGCCCGATCTATCCTGGGATGATTTGCAGCTCCAGGAAAATAGTACACGCCCTCCTGCAGCCGCAAACGTGTTCGCACAGTTTGCTTGTTCCTCACTTCAAAGAGGCTTTCACGGCACACCTGCTGGGCTGTGGCAAGTGGAAACCGCAATTGGTGGAACCATTCAGCACGTCTCGGATTAGTGTTCTGCACCAGCATCGTCTGAGGCACAACAGGCAAAGAGTATAAGGCTCGAAACTGGTCACGATATAGAGCGGCCCTCTCCAGCGCTTTCGACGCGTCGTCAAACAGATCAGGAGCAAATATGCAGCAAGCTGGGTGCAAAGCACCCGTGTTGCCAGTTGTTTCGAAACACGCAATTGTTAAAGCAGGCGGGATTGCTCCATTCGGGTCTGCAAAAGGCTTTGCCAATGGATGCTTCTTCAACGCATCTTCCACATTCGTTGTCATTGACATCTTAATGTACTCTCGGATGTCAGCCCTGTCATCAGATCTGAGTCTCACACCAAGGCGACTTTTCAATGCAGCTGCAATTCTTACGCTGTCGATTGAGGGATACTGACTCAGTTGCTGGCATGCAACTACTATAGACCGTGCATGCAAGCCAGCAGCTCCTTTGATATTGGTCTTCTGTTTTGCAGTTGCATTTGGAAGTGCACGATCTACAATAAATTCACGACCAGAATTGTCAAGTAGGATGGGATTGACTGTTAATGCAGGTCGCTCGCTCACGCTTTTCAGTGTCTCGTCAGTGAGAGCAGCTAGAAGAACAAGACACCGTTTGCTCGCCTGACTCAGTGCAAGAGCAACACTGGCGAGAGTGGAAGCCGCTGCCTTTACTCCTTCTTCTTGCAGAAGCTGCAGCTCGTCCACGCAAATCACAACATTTGGTTTGGCTGCCGCGTTCACAAACATCTGTAATATCTCTGCAGGGGAAATCTCGATGTTCATCAAGTGGCGCAATGCCTTGCCGCATCCCTGGTTGCTGGTTCCCACTTGCCGTAGCATTAATCGCCAAAGAACGGCCTTTTGACATGCAAAGAATTGAGTTTCGAGGTCCATGGTCAGATCTTGCTCTTGATTGTAAGTGATGTAAATGAACTCGCAGTCAGTCCAGGCTCTGTCCACACTTGCCAATGCCTTCGGTGCTTCTAGCAGACTGTGAGTCTTACCAGTGCCGGTCCCAGCAGACAGCGCCATAAGTCTGGGTGCCCTGCCAAAGCTAAGGCTCCTATAATTGTCGAGTAGTTCTTGTCCAAAGGCTACCAAGTGCCAGGTCTCGGCCAATTGATACGGATGGCAGTACTGCTCATCTTGAATGGCATGTTCTGGCAAAACTGCAATGTCACGCAGCTTGGACAAGGCATTGTCAAACGCCTTTTGTTTCACGGCCAGCACTAACTCTTGGACTAAGCGGCTCACCTGACAGGCAAGAAGCACAAAGTCTCGGCTTTGCTTGAGGTGCCTGGATCTTGTTTGTTGACATCTCTTGCTATTCATTCCACAGGTTCTCACCCTGTACGAAACCGACCCAGAAAGTGATGTTGACACACAATCATGACACACACAATCATGACACACACACACACACAATCATGACACACACACACACAAGTTCCAAAGATACGACACAAATCCGTTCATGGAGGGTCCCTACCGAGCCTGCCAACGACACGAACCGCCGCAATCTGCAAAAATGCTATCTTGGGATTTCCTCATTCGGATGTTGAGCAAGATTGGGTTGCCACCTCTAAAATGTTTCGATGCAAACAAGTCTCCCATCTGCTTGCCTGGCTACACGGGGATTGATCTCAATTCCTTTGTCGGAAAACAGCCATAAACATACTTTTGCGAATCTTTCGCAACTCCATCCCTGTGCACTTGTCGTGCACGACCTTAATTGGGCTTCCGGAGAACTACTGCGAAGGACTACTGCCAGGAAACAATGAAGACTTTTAAGAGGCTCCACCTCAACAGCATGTCATGCAGGGCACCTGGCTTTGTCTGAGGGCCCAAACTTTCGCGCCGGCTCTCCCGAAACTGTCGCGAAACTTGCGCGAAAATCGGCCATGGTTTCCGTCCCTAAGGAAACCCACTTCACAAAACGGGTTACGAAATATCTGTCGCGGCACAAATACTTTCGCAACTCCATCACGAAACCTTCGCAGGGGCATTCATACTGAATGTGTTTGAAGCCAATGGCATCGAATACAAAGTCCTTTCAAGGCCTTCAAGGACCTTTAGATTCTTTAGATCAACTCCGTCTACAAGGGCTAGCTGCGGAGACTCTGCGCGAGGACAGTCAAACACTTCTACGCAACATAAGAGAAAGGAATGAACAGCGACCTGTTTCCCACCACTGTCTTAAACATGGAGCTCACTGAGAGGGCAGGCAAAGCGTCAGTACAGAGTGCAAAGGACTTTTTCACGGCGTCCTGTTGTCTTGTTGCATTGCCCAAGCGCGCCCTACATATGGACCAAAGTATTCCAGCCATTGGGCTGGTTGAACGATGCCTGTCATTGGGGGCAAATCCTGCTGCTGGATGTGTTTCTCCTTTGTGCAGAAGAGAATCAAAACATCATCTGCGTCGCAGCTTTTGGCACGTTCATCTTGAATGACTTGATTGTCCACATTTGCTTGACCTTGCTTTGCTTGTCCACATTCTGAGAAAGGTTTACCACTGGCGTCCTCGAGAAGTGCTGCAAAGTCGGCTGCAGGTGCGCTCCTTGCATTTCGCACTATGTAGGAGTAATTACCATTCTGGAGTTCTTCTCCTCTAAGAGCTGTTTGCCCATCTGGTCCTATGGTACCACCTTGCCCTTTCTTCAGTCCGAAATGCTGCGCGTTCGTCGCAGTCCACCCCTTTGCAGTGACAATTTGCAGGGGTCTGTTCTTGACACACCGCCCACCAAAGGCTGTGGGGTTGATCAGAGCACCGGCATGCAGATCAGAAAGGCTAACACTCTCACCATCATTCCACACCAGTGATTTCAAGGCCCGGAAGCGCACCAAGAAGGTTTCCCAATCAAAGCCATTCGGGTCTGGCTTGTCGTTGATGTCTCTGTAGTCCAACAACGCCCAATCTTGCAGCTGCGGTTCATCAACGATAGCAAGGTGGATCCAAATATATGGCAGCAAAAGTCGACGCCGCTTTCCGCTTGGGCTGTACTCCAGCTGAACCAATTGCAGCTTTTCAGGGTTCTGGCCGCCAACAGCTTCATTGACTTTCAGCCATTTTCCAGCCAATGCAGCTTTTAGGACAGGCAAGAAATCATCCGGAATGGCATTTGGATACGCAGTGTAAAGTCTCACTCGCACCTCTTGCACTACATTCTCTGCAGATCTTGGATCTTGGATTCCTATTGCTTCGAGCTGTTCCAAAGCTCGACCATGCCCTCCCATGTCTGATTGAACAAGCTCCAGGATCTTATTGCCAGAGAAGTTAAAAACATCTTTGCCGAGCCGCTGCACAATTTCTACCCTAGGCAAGTGAATAAATGCGCGCTGCTGAGGGCTGTCGGCTAAAGATGATTCAACGCCTACTCGCGTAGTGGCAGAAATTACTCCCACCACTAAGGGGCCCATATCCTGATTCACTTGTTGGCATACAGCTTGCATGGTCTGGTAGAAAAGTGTGCTCTTGCTTGACGTGTCTTCCGAGCCAGGCAAGTTGTGCAGCCCATCCAGTGCCAGACTCAAACTCCACTTGGCTCCACTTAACCCTTCGCCCTTCTCCAGTGCCTGAATGACGTCGTCAACAAGGATGCCTTCAGTTGCAACAGCTGCACGAAGCTGACCAAACGTAAAGTTTGGAGGCAAGCCAGCCCATCCGAATCGTGTAAAGTCTGCCTTCGCGAGCAATTGCCAAAGCATCCGCGATGCCAAAATCGTCTGTGGCAAAATATCGTGTGCAGCATCTACTTTCTGGCCATTTTCCAAAGTGATCAAAAATTGGAGAAATCGCTGGCCATAAGAAGAGCTGCCAATTAAGCCAGTATCTTCTGCAAGCCGATGAAACTCTTGCAAGAAGCGACTTTTTCCCTGGCCTGGGGCAGCCACGACCAAGAAGAGCGGGTGCAACATCTTATCTTCGCCGAGGCCCTTGTTCTGGCAAAGCTCCGTAAGCGGTTTCCGGAGCTGCTTCTGCAAGTCTTCAATGCCCACGTAATCCCAATCCGCCCCAATCGTTCGAAGCAAGCGAGATGGATCACGATACTTCAGCCCGCTCATCAGGGCGGCCTTGATGGATGCCTCTGAACAAAAAACACAAAACAGCTGACGCTCAGCTGCACCAACTGTGGGGCTTCAAGCAAAAAAAACAGGAAAGTCTTTACACGGGAAAACGGACAGCGCCAACCTTTCATGGCAAGTCAGACATGCGTTCGCGGGATAATCGAGAACTGGCAGGGCAAGGAATGGCAGCCAATACGAAACTCAACAATCAAGCAGGCTAAGATTGGGCCGGAAAGCCACTGCCGAAGGGAGCATGGACAAAAGTACAAAAAGACTATGCTAACCACTCATAAAGCACGGATGGGCAGTCATCGATTCATGGGCCTCCACACTAATTCGTTTCACGTCTGCCAACAACGCAGCCAGTTGAAATCTACAAAGACAAAAAGCGTTCATGGTTTTGTGGATGATGCGTTTAGGCGGGCAGCCCCATTGAAAGCATTTGCGGGCCGCGGGGGGAATTCCTCAAAACCGCACGCAACGACCAATGTCTCAGAACAAAGTCAAGAGCAAACGATTTTCCAGCCGCGCCTCGGGCTCTTGCAACAGCCGGATCTTCTCAGCCAGAAGCTTTGCAGGGCCGCCAGGGATGTTGCACGGAGCTGCCATCAGCTCTTCCAGCGTGAGCTTCAGCAGGGACTTGCCGGTGACGCCCTGCTGCTGCAGTGTCGTCACCGTTTGCTGGATGAGCTCGTCGTCTGCTTCCAGCCCACCATCGATCAGCACAGCCTCTGCCCAACTGGACACCTGGGCCTTCTTGAAGCCCTCCACCTCCTCGCGGCTCTTGGCGAGCCAGTCCTGCCAGCACTCACCAACAACCAAGCCTGGCGCATGCGAGCCCCCGGCCTCCGCACCACTGTCCTGGCACGATTGCAACCGGCCAAATTTACAACTGCTGATTGGAGCGTCCTGCTGCGGGCTGGCGCGCGAAGCAACTCCGCCACGCCCAGGGTGCCAGCTTGTCACCTCAAGAGCTGAAATTTAGGCAAAAAAATCACATCAACGCCGAGATCTGGACCTGTGCCCTGTGGGAATCCTGGCGGACCAATTGCACCAACTCGACTCACACACACCCCAGCTGTGCGCACGAAGCGACGGCCTCTTCCAAGCCCTTTTTGGTTGCTTTGGCCTGCGTCGCACGAAAACCGCTTGCGAATCTCAGACAAAGCACGCAGTCCTGCCTCCTCCACAAACTCGCGCAGTTTTTGTTGCAACTCGTCTTTCTTCCCTGAAAGGGTCCACTTCCCTGGATATATCTTCTGCGCTTTTCCTGAGCTCAACACTTTCACCGCTCTTGCAACCCCGACCCACGTGCTGCTCCAGCGGCGCAAGACGGCTTTGGTCTCTTTCACCGTGCCGTTGTCCTCCAGCACCCTGTCGGCTTCTGCGACCACCTGAGCGAGGCCAAGCTGGGACGTCGCTTTCTCTGAAGGTCCGCCGCCTCGCCCGATGCACGTGTCCCCCAGGCCTGGCCACTGTTGTCCTGGCGGCAACCGGCAAACGATGCGAACAGGCTTCGGGTCGGAGGAGTCCTCTTGCGCAGCCCCGGCGCGCCGAGCGACTCCGGCATGCAACGGGTGCCGTTTTGCCTGAAAGAGCCAAAGTGCAATCTGCTTGCGCCTGCGGGCAACTCTGAGAACTGGGCCAATATGCTGTCCTGGCACTCAGCACGAAACAAGAACATCCAAAGGAGGGACTTCATGCTCCTTCAGCCCAGGAACTCCTCGAGCAAAGTCCTGGGCGGCGACAAGGGACTCCTGAAACCCGAAAACCTTCGGGAAAAATATGTGTCCCAAGACCCAGGCCGTGCTCGGCTGCACGAGCAGCGCCAATGCGATCCCGAGAAGGCAGAGGCACATACCTGGCCGCTGCCCACCGCGGGCACGGTAGCGTCACAAGCTTGCCAGCCTCGGCTTTTGGTCCTGGTCCGCATCATCGCCATGGCTATTCGAAAAGCGCTTGAGCGGCCTGCGATTCCTCAAGCACTGGCACTAGACCCATCGGGCAACCATTGCGAGCTGTTGTTGTGTCAGTGTTGATGAGTACCCTCGAGCCAAGTTTCCAGAGCAAACACAAGATTGACTGGCTTCTTTGGCAACACCAACGCACGGGTGCTCCTCCTCCTTTTCACTCGCGGCCTGAAGGTCGGTCGGGCCAAGCCTTGCAAGGCTTCGCAGCGTCCATCCGTCAGACTGGCTGACCCACATCCTGCCGCTGCATCAAAGTCCAAGCGAGATACCAAACTGGCCTGCCTGCAAAACAAGCAACCGAAATCGGCACCGCGGAAGTCACAAGCTGTCGTGCCCTGGAGGGCGGGGGTTTCAGGGGTCTCTGAAAGTTTTGAGGTTTCTGGGGCGCCTGGCGTTGCTGGGGTCCCTGAGGTTCCTGGGGTCCCTGGATGAGACGCTGTCAGAGGCAGGCATGGCTGCACGCGGAGCGCCAAGCTGCAGGCTCCGCCAGTCCTCCACGGACTCCTCCTGCAGGAGGCGTCCCAACGCCTCCATGCGCTCGGCGTCAGTGCGGCTCTTGGCCTGCGCCATCACTGCGTCGGCCACCTGCAGGGCCTTTGTGTCACCGGCCAAGACGGCGGCCTGCAAGTCTTCCCAGTCAGACTTGGCCGGCTCGCCGTCACCCTCACGCTTGCCGCGGGCAAGGTCGCCGAGATAGCCCGCAACTGCATTGAAGGACATAGCAACAAGATCCACAAGCAACTTTCAGATTTCAGCCAAAATCAGCTTCGCAAGCCCTCACATCCAAAGTCTGATCAACTCGTCTGCCAAATTCTGACCAACTCCTCTGAAAGTCACATGTGCACATGCTGCTGCTGGATCTGCTGGGCACCAGGCGTCTTCTACTGGCCCGGCCTGGGCCGACGAGCGTCCCTGGGCCCCATTGGGGTCGCTGGGGTCCCTGGGGTCCCTGGGGTCCCTGGATTTTTCTCGGATTTGCGGTGGGCAGTATCTGAAGCACCCAAGGTCCCTGGAGACCCTGGGGTTTGTGGGGTCCCTGGGGGTTCTTGGTGGGCCCCCCTCAAACAAATCCGCACGAGCGTGCTTGGGGTCCCTGGGGTCCCTAGGGTCCCTGGTCCCTCTGAAAACCCTGGGTACCTTTGGGGGGGTGTTAAAGTTGAATCGACACTCAGCCTCGGAAACCCTTGCCGTGCCATGCATCCCCAAGATGACGGGGCGATCCAGAGCCACACCTTTTGCTGTTGCTTCGCTGTGCAGCTTCCGTCTTGAATTCAGTCCTGCAAAGACACGCACCATGCACTGCAAAGGGAATCAGTGAAACACGTTCTGCCTAGAGGCATCTGATCTGCAGACTGCGGCAACGGATGGAAATGTTGCCATACTGCAAACTACTGAATGTTAAATCACCATGCATGATGCAGGGACAAAGAGGGCCAGGTACCTTTCGACTCAGGTTGCCTACTCAAGTGCTAGTCACGATCACCTGACTTCGTCAAAGCTGTGACTCCTCGAGTTCTGCGGCAAATCAAGTCATGGCAAATCTCCCAGACACCTTCACTGCAGAGTCTCTGCAATTCAACTCTCGAAACACTGCCCTTGTTCAACCCGTCAGCCAGCCTGTCTCGCGTATCGCACCAAATGAGCTGATCAAGCTGCTTGCTGTCAAGCAGCTCACGCAAACGAAGCGCGTGGATCAACATGATCTTGTCATTGGGGGTGCGAATCTCGTCAGCGGTGACGCTGTCAAGAACTGCCCGTGCGTCAATCACACAGTCTAAACGTAAACTCATCTTCCCAGAGTCCTGTCGTTCAGCCAACACCGCAGCACTGCTGATTCCTTCAAGAATCTCAGTAAATGCAAGATTGATCGTCGCAGCGAGACCTGTGAGGTCAAGGCATGAGTACAATTCGGCAGCGTAGGTACTTCTGCACACTCTCGATTGCTTCTTGCTGACAAATTCCAGCATCTGAAGAGTATTGAAGCCCTTCTCAATCCCGTTCTTGCTTGCCAAACAAATGAGGCCACTCCTCATTGCAAGACAATCGTTGTCATCACCACGATAGCTGCTGTCTGAAATTGCTATCAACCGCCAAGGGGCTGCCACACGTGTGTGTCGCAGTTTCAAGGGGTTGTCCTTCACGTACTGCACAAGCTTATTCAGGTTAACAACATCACGCCCAGTCGGAGCTTTCAGCTTTCTCTGCAACGCCGAAACAAAGACTGCAATGTCACACCTCGTCTGTACTGTCCAAGCTATGCCTCCGAGAAGCGACATATACAAGCGTTGAACCTCATCTGAAACTCGTGTTTCCAGATTGAGACGTAAGTCTCCTTCAAGGATCAACCGCAATTCAGCAACATAATGTATTTGACTCACAGTCCGAGATCCGTCTGGATGCAGTTCGTGACGAAGGCCCAAATGCTCGAAGTTATTCCGCTCGAGCTTCAAGGCGTCAAAATGCTCTTCAAGCACCTTTATGGTAGCTGCAATTTCTGCTTCAACACCAGCCATCTTGATGTCGTCCACGTGCACAGACAACACAAGGACTAGCTGCTTGTTGCTGTCATGCTTCACAAACAATTGGCGGTCTGCCTTTGTGCTTCCAAGACCTATCAAACGAAGCACGCGTTGTAAAGCAAGATTCCACAACCGTGGGGCATCTTTCAACCCGAAACCTGGTTTCAGCATGCGAAGGCACTCCGACCTTTCGTCAAAGTCACTCATACCATCCAAAGAGCGTAACAGCTCTGCTGCTCCAGGAGGCAAAAGAAGTTGCACTTCACGCAAAGGTTTGGAACCGTCCTCACTTGCCAGTTCTTCAAAGCTAAGACCACGCAAGAAAGCTTCGCTCACATCTGCACTCACCAAAGGCCAGTTGTATTGCGTTGCTATGATCAGCACCGCACGCTGTCCCCAGCGAGACGTGGTTCCTGCAAAATTGCTAACTTCTTGACGATCACGAAAGCCTTGTACCACCAAACGGCCTTTCACTTGTCGCTGCTTGTTAATCTCCTTCCACTTGAGAACCCAGCGACTCTGCAAAAGATTTCGCGCAAGCTTTCGCGGCGAGCGAACCCAGGCCTTGTGCTTGTTCCAGCGCTGCAGTTCAAGAATCATCGCAGATCTGCACTTCTCCACGTTCTCCAACGCTTCTGCATGCGTGAGCACATTGTTGACCCGTTGGATTACCGCCTTGACTTCCGAGCCGGCTTCATACATCATCACCAGCTCTTCGTCTGGTTCAAGCGGTCGCTGCTTGCTCGTCAAATATTGACTTCGTCGAAAGTCAAAAACCAATTCTGCAGGTTCAAGTAGCTCCTGATGAAGATCCATCTGCTCAAGAACAATGCAATCCAAATTGCAAGCTGGTTCCTGCCAGCGCGACTCCGAGCAACTCGCCATGTTGCATTCCTGCACGCTGTACTGTAACCAGTCAGTCATGGACTCCACAACCAAAGCTATGCTAGCTGCTGCAGTAGCATCTTGTCCGTCCCCATGTTCTGCATCTGAAACATCACTCGTCGCCACGGGATTCACCGCTGTAGCACGAGTGTCGGAGTTCGTAATCATTTTGGGACCTCGCGTTCGCCTCTGATTATCAGGATTAAATTGCGTCTGCGAGGATATAGTCGGTCTTGTCTCATCATCATCAAACTCCACTGCCTGAACCTTGGGCGCATATGGATCATAAATCCCACCAAGATTCTGCACAAAAGGAAAACATCTCCGCACTGATTGCACACCTGCAGTGTCAGTCATCACAAACTGAACCAAAGCCACCTCACTGCAGTGACATCCGGTGAGTCGTCCCAGGTTGATATGGTGGTTCCCAATCAGAAACGAAGTGTACCACTGACAGATATCGCCGCGCTTCCACCAGAGCACTAAAGTATCATCTGAATTGATCGGCGGCAATGCTTCAATCTCAGCACCAAATCTGAAATTCACCACACCATTCAAACCTAAGCAACAGGCGGCAACATGAAGTCCAGCAAGTAGTGTCTTCCCATGACGCGCGTTGGCTTCAAAGGAAATCCACTCGTTTTGCCGTTGAAACCAACCCACACGCACTGCAAATCCATTGTGATCTTCTGCAGCTTGGCGCAAAACGTGGACCGGCGATTCCTGTTGCACATGATCGTGAAGTTGAAAATACGTCATGGCTCTTCTAACATCCTGCACTCGGCAAGTTAAGAGCCGACTCTGCCAGCGAATGCCGATCACTCCGTCCTTCAAGGATACTAAGTCGGTCACCACTGCTGGTCCAAGCCAAGACACAACGTCCTTGGATGAAGCTTTGCGATAAAACTCGACCAAATCGCCCACCTGCAGGTCCAACAATTCTCCTGCTCTTCTCGATTTGTGAGTGTCTGCCCTGCGAGCGCGCTCTTCTGCGGTCGCTTGTATCATTGACTGCACAGCGATCTGTCTCAAGCGAAAGTGATCATCGGCATTCCCTTCGTCAGCCTCTTCTCGCATGACGTTGAGCAAACCAGGAGTTCGCCCGAAAAGAGCTTCGTAAGGGGAAAAACCTCCGCAAGTGAAAAGCGCATTCTTGGCAAACAATGCTTCTGCAAGAATTCCAGGAAAATCTGTTCTCACTCCATCTGCAGTTGCTTGGGCATCAATGTAATGAATCTGTCGTCGCAGAAGGTTATTGTGACGCTCCACGATGCCAGCATGTTGATATCTGGCTCTAAGTGTCAGCTTGACATGTCGTTTCTCCAACTCACCTGCTGCTGCATCAGTGTCAAGAGCACCTTCACGGTCAGACACAAGCTCTTGTGGAAATCCATACTGGCGAAACCAAATCAGCTCCATGCCAGTCATGATGGCGTCAAATTCTCTGCTGGGAATCACTTGCGCAGCACTCCAACGAATACAACTGTCAATCATGTGCAAAATTGTATAATGCTTCACGAAAAGCAAGTCCACTTGAACAGATTCGTTGAATTGAGCGCTCAAACGAGTTGAAGTGACACTGCGAACTCCAGGGCGCGTCCATAGACGACATGTTCCGCATGTAGCCACAACGTCGTCGGTAAGTGCCAGAACAGAAGGTTCAACGCCTGCGGCTTCCAACAACATCTTCATGCGCTTAGCACCGCAATGGTACCAGCGTATGTGAAGTTTCCGCAAAGCTCTTCGCACAATTCCAGGTCTGACCGACCGAAGTTGCTGTAAGGCAGCACCCAAATCAAACCTGCTCCAACCTGCACCATCACGCTCCTCTGGCGCAGCATCGGCACGTTCGACTGCTCTCACTGCTGCTTCAGCCTGCACTTCAGCATCTTGAAATCTCCGCCGTGGCCCAGCGCTTGCTGCAGCATTCGAGGAATCACCTCGGACAGATTGAGCTGCTTGCTCAACACGACGATCCTGCGCAATCACTTGTCTCTCAAAATCGTCGGACCGAGCTGCTTTGTCTGCCCTAATACGATCTGCCTCCGAACGACCTTCGTTGTCTGCAGGCACGCCCACCGGCGGTGCATCTGCAAGCCTCAATCTACTCGTTGGATCATCTGCTGCCGGTACAGAAGGATCACGAGGATGGCGTCCCGCACGAGCCCTTCCTGCGCCAGCTGATACACTGCGTGCAATTGACCATCTACAGTTAGGGTCCAGCGTGTGAGATGCATCATCACGATGGCGATGTTTCACACATCCAGGACAGCTCCAAGTGACTGAATCTTCACCCCGAAACCGGCAGTCATCGCC